ACGATAAGGCTCGGATCATCCCGATGTCGACGCTCCAGATGCAATTTGTCCTAGTTCCTGGCTGGACTCCATGAGGCCTGAATCTTCTAGAACCTGTAGACCACTGTTAGATCATACCCAATCGGCGACCAGAAAATCTGATGTGTTGACTTTGACATTTCGGATCTGGGCCTGGGGCCATGAGTCGACTGTTGACTTAACAGTCAACTGTCGGTCAGGCATTTTCCCTCTGGCCTGTTTGGCCTGCCTCGGGGCCTAGTCATTCGTGCTGGCCTGGGGCGTGGCCGATGCCCGTCGGGGGCGCTTAATTTGCACATGGAGTACAGCATCTGGCATTGAGTGGAGGTGACGGGTTGGTTTGCAGGTTCAGCTCGAGCAGTGAGAGGAGCAAAGGTTTGTTTGTGATAGCGCATATGCTTTTGCAACGCCCAGAGTCCACGATTCCGTGGATGGCAGTAAAGACGAGAGTCAGTGATTCTACCAAAGCCGATAGTTACAATTCCCCCGATGAGTGCGAAGACGAGAGTCAACGAGTCAACCAGTGGGACGAGACTCAACAAGTCACCGATGGGATGAGAGTCAACGAGTCGACCAATGGGACGAGAGTCAACGAGTTGACCGATGGGACGAGAGGACGAGAGTCAATGAGTCGACCAATGGGAACACAGGAAACAATTGTTGATTCTCAGCGCGGGTCGTTAAAAAAAAAGAAAGCGAACAAAAAAGTTGATTGAACTTGATATTCATCTCGGAAGGGTTGCCGAACTCTCCAAATTCCAAGAGTCGACAATGCCTGAACTCTCCAAATTCCAAGAGTCGACAATGCCTGAACTCTCCAAATTTTGGCATCGCGCCACTTGCTCTACAGATCAGGCTCAGAAAATGAACTCGTCAAGAACTGTCCGAACACGGCCTCGAAAGACACTCTCCAATCTTGGAGAGTTTCGAGCCTGGCAAAGCCCAGTATGTAGAGAGTCCTCGGCCGAGATGAGCGCCGTATTTGGGAGAGGGGGCCTGAAATCTGGACACACAAACTGGGCCTTCCGGATGTCTTTTTGTGCTCTCCGAGTGCAAACCAATTTGGAGAGTCCTCCCATGGAGAGTAAGTGGAGTGATGACTGTTTTTTCGCGTTTTGGACAGTCTGTCAGTCTGACAAAATTACAGACAGGGCCTCAGGAAGGAGATTAGTGCGGCAAGACCCTGTGCGAAGACAAAAGTCACCGATTCCACCAATGGGTACAGTTTTTTCTTTGTATTTTGCTCACAGTGGGCGCAAGCTTGCAAAGACGAGAGTCCACCCACCGGTTCTAACCATGGGTGCAAACTTGTGAAGGTGAGAGCCAGCAATCCACTAATGGGTGCGAAGAAGAGGGTCAATGACCAAGACAAGCGTCAACAATTCCGCCAATGCTTTTTCTATGGACTTTCATGACACCAAGGGCCATATGCCCCACTGGTACTATGTTCACGCTGACAAAGCATGAACATGACCACGATTCTGACCATATTCGTGTCATCCAAGCATGCGCATAGCACCAGTGGGGCCTGGGGCCTCAACCAAGTAACGGGTTGTGTTTCACTATCCCAGTGCTAGACATCCCTCAAAAACTCAGCTTTTATAGTAATCCATTTTCATTTATTTAAAATTATTTTGTTCTATTATATTTTAGATGCGAGAACGCCTCTGCTTATTGCTGAAAGCCCCCTCGACAGCTCACCAAGGTTCAGGATCTGGCAATCTATCGCAGTTTAAGCTGACAGCGCTCGATTTTAAGGGGCCTTCACAGCGCGACTTCATAGGACCGAATGCGTCATGCCTCGTGACCTAGAGTTTGTTCCTGCCATCAACGCCCGTCACTCCATGTCGCAACTTCTGGACCGGGCTTATCCGTTTGAGAACTTTGAGGTAAGTTTTGTTTTTTTCCGAAAGGGGGTAGACCCTTTTTTTTTTATATATATATAAAAAGCCCAGGGTGTTGTAGAGGCCGAGGACCAGGCACACGGTGATTGCTGGCAGCTCGAAGCCAATGGGTGTCATGACAAAGTGAGGCTACCCCCCAACCCATCCTCGCATCAATACTACTCCTGCACCCCCTATACCTACTATCCTCTCTCTCTGTGACCAGCACTCAGGACGATCACCCTACCAGTATCGAGGGCAACTTGGACCGAATAGCCGTGACAGGCACCAAGGCCCGTCACTCGGATGCCAGGCCATCATGCCTCGTGACCTAGCGGAAGCAGAAGCAGACGAATCTTGCCGTACGGGAACCTCGGATAACAGGCTCAAGCAGTCTTCTACAGGGCCCAATAGTCGGAGAGTCCTCCCGATAAGCTGGCACAAGGACCTAGGCGGGCAGGCCGGCGGGGTCAGGCCCCTCCCTTGCTGTATCGGCAGGAGTCGAACTCTGGATCTGTTTATCGAAAGTTATATCAGTGTATCACTCAGCCACAAGGGGCATGTGTTTGAGGTAAGTCGAGACTTATGAGTAAAATAATTTTTCTGAGAGTCGGCGACTGAAAAGGTGCTGCCTCCCTGAAGGAGCAAATGTACAACTGTTGACTCTCTCTCTCTCTCTCTCTCACACACACACACACACACACACACACACACACACACACACACACATTATCTTCATACGTACCCATGGAGTGCAGGGAGGGTGATAACCGTGGATATTTCCACTGTACAATAGGCCCAAGGTCCTGACAGGCTACATATTATCATAGAGAACTGCCTGGTGAGCAATACGTAGAGAGGGAGAGGAGGACAACAAATGAGGGGCTTTGACAGACTGTTTTGTCGGACAAACAATATATACCGTTATCCAAATGTGACCTACTACATCCCTTCTCCTCCACCAGCCCGTGTGCTCACCGCCAGTGGGCAATTGACCAGATCTGAACAAATATCGTGGGACTTCCGAACTGCAGCAATAACACTTGTTGCATGCTTTCTCGTGGGCATTCTCCACCGTCCCTTACTCTAGGGAGAGGAGGACAACAAATGGGTGGACCTGCTACATGCGCTCCAACCAACGCCACTACCCTAGTATACATGTGATGCGCCCCTCTCACTGGCTCTCAGTGGTTCCAGCGCATGTTCCTATCTGTCTATCCACCCCCATTGCTCTTCTAGGCTGGTTACTCTTGGAATGCGAAATGTACACGTGGCAGCAGAAGATCGGGTCGTTCATTGTCTCCGATCTGCTTGATTATTCCGCAACAATTTATCAACCGACATTGCTATTTATCGATTTGGTGTATTGCTGGACAGAAGAGATTGGGCTCATTACAAAGAAACACATCCGGGTGAAGGAACCCTCACAACTGGGCTACCACAAACAAACCCTTGACTCTCTCTTCAAACGTAAAGGTTCCTTGACCATCTCTTCAATTGCGAAGGAATGTTCAAGGAATCCTCAACACATCCGGGTCAAGGAACCTTCAAGGAATCTTCAAGGAATCTTCAACACATCAGGGTCAAGGAACCTTCACGGAATCTTCAAGGCATCCTCGACACATCCGGGTCAAGGAACGTACAAGGAATCTTCAACACATCAGGGTCAAGGAATCTTCAAGGAATCTTCAACACATCCGGGTGAAGGAACCTTCAAGGAATTTTCAACACATCCGGGTCAAGGAACCTTCAAGGAACCTTCAAGGAACCTTCAAGGAACCTTCAACACATCCGGGTCAATCAAGGAATCTTCAACACATCCTGGTCAAGGAACATTCGAGGAATCTCCACTCAATGCAAGCTGCGCTACCACAAACAAACCCTTGCTCCTCTCTTTTGCTCCTCTCTTTTTTAAGAAGAAGCGAGGACCTTGTTGAAAACAAGATCCCTCCAAGGAGTCCTTCAGCATAGGGTACATGATAACAGGCAGGGTACATCCATCTCAGCAAATGGGCAGACAGGAGTGTTGACGCAGAATTTGCAGTGAAGCAGCGACAGTAATGAGAGCATGCAGAGAATGCAATTTTCAAAATTTTAAAGAAAGAAAGAATGAATGACCAAGTATACAGCCAAGCAGACGACGCACAGGCAAACACACAGGCGAGGCAACCATGGTCGGCTTGTTAAATGAAGGTTACATGCGGCGTGAGGGACTGCTAGGACCGCGCACCCACCCCCCTTCCCCGCCGGTGTCCGGTCCTCCTCGGGATCATCATGCAGAGCTGATGGGTGCTGCCAGTCAGCTTCCCAACTTGCAGGGTAATCCCAGAGGAAGGGGGTCCATGTGACTCTTGTCACTTCAGCTAAAACCCAAAATGAAACTTCCATTTTGTGGAGCGGGTTTCTCAAGGATGGAAGTGGGTTGAGCCGAAGCAGTACCCCCTTGCACAGGCGGCTCGAGCCACAAGGGTAGGCTGATTTCCTTTTCTGTCTAATCCCCCTGGCTGCTTGTTCACATGGTTGCGTGTGAAAGCGACCGGACTTATGCCCCCCAGAATCGAAGGGGCTTTTTTCCTTTTTTGCGAAAAAGGAAAAGAATACAGCCAAGACATGAGGGTTTGTCACAGCAGAGCAGAGGAACGAGTACCCCATGGTAGGACTTTCAAAGTCCATTGGTGTATACACATACCTTAAAAGCAGGGTGAACACACAAATCCAAACTAATGAGAACGTCCCCTCAACGCCCATCCGAAAATCATGTTTCCTTCCTTCTGATCTATATCCAACCATATATGTCGGCAGCTCCGCCTCTGGCAAGCCTTTGATATTCATCCTCTGCGACAGAAAAACTGAAGGGGTTACAGAGACAGAGACAGAGACAGAGACAGAGACAGAGACAGAGACAGAGGCAGAGGCAGAGACAGAGGGGGGTGCAACTGTCGGGAAGCAAATGTGTGTGTGTGTGTGTGTGTGTGTGTGTTATAACATTTTCCCACAACAGCCCCAATTCCACCCAGATGAATAGATTCAGAATCAAAGCAGTTTTGTCCTATTGCAGACAACGAGAGGCGTCGAGAGCACTTCAGATGAGACAGTCCAACATTTAAAAGCAATTTTACAATTAGAGGAATTAGTTGAATTAGACAATTTTTTGGTTATCCTTGGGGTACCCCTTCCATTTTTGCAGCTACCCATTTACTGTGCCTCTTACGTACAAGGCTGCCCACATGCATTGTGGTTGAGCGGTAGCTGCCCACATCGCCCCGTGTGTGTGTGTCACACACACACACACACACACACAGAGAGAGAGAGAGAGAGAGAGAGAGAGAGAGAGAGAGAGAGAGAGAGAGAGAGAGAGAGAGAGAGAGAGAGAGAGAGTGGCCCCGTGTGTGTGTGTGTGTGTGTGTGTGTGTGTGTGTGTGTGTGAGAGAGAGAGAGAGAGGGCCGACGTTCACTGCACCACACCGCAGAGTAAAAGTCGGCCGTGTGTGCGTGTGTGTGTGCTGTCTCTTATACACATCTAGATGTGTATAAGAGACAGACTGTGACCTTCATTGGAGATTCTGACTCAGCAGCGTTGTTAGCACCACTCATTTGCTTCTTTCTGTGAAGCTGTTCGAACTCAATTGTACGTACCCTGCAAAACATGTTTGTCCAGAGATTGGAAGGAACAAACTGTTATTGAATTATACATGTCCTAACAGGAACGAACGTGTGCGAACTGAGAGAAAACCTATAATCACAGACTGTGCAACACAGAGCAAGCAGACCACTACCAATCGATACCTCAGTTCAGATAAAAAAGAAAAAGAAAAATGTGTGCCGTCCCTCCCTCTCCCCCTTCGGATGGGATGCAGTTATGATGATGTTTCACCTTTGAAGAATTGCCCCTGCAGATGCTTGGAGAGAACCCTTTCCTAGCCGCTTGTACCTGAGACCAGCCCGCTTTTGCCTGTAACTACCTTGAGGCTTTCTGTACACATACAGAGCTGAGCCGCTCACGGCTACTTGCCCCAGACTGCGTATGAACCTTCTTTTCCAGAGCTGTTGTTAGGATTGACTCACTCTACGAAGAAAAATGGTTGACGTGGTGTTGTGTACGCATTGCCGCAGAGCAATCTAAATCAATTGAAAATGTCGCGAAACAAAGAAAACAGCAAAGATTCCCCCTTCCACTGCAGTGGGAAGATCTTTCTTGAGCACCACGCTGGTAGATTGTAGACGGTACAAATGCACTGGAGATACATACCTGCACCTTGAATGCATCCCACAGTCATCGCCAAACTCCACTGTAGTTACTACCATCGCACAACCGGGCACGCCAGACAAGCCTCCGTCCTCCGCTGCGAGATTTAACTGCGAATACAAAGTGGGACAGCAGACTCACATACAGCTGCAGACACAGCTGCTGCTGCTCCTTCTCCTCTCAACCAAGCCTTCGGGCCAGAAACCCTCCTGAAAGTCCTAGTCCAGCTAGTTTCCTCTAAGATCAAGCTTCTTCTTCTTCTTCTTCTTCTTCTTCGCCGTCGTCGTCGTCGTCGTCTTCGTCTTCGTCTTCGTCTTCGTCTTCGTCTTCAATCTTCGTCATCGTCCTCGATCTTTGTCTTCATGCGCCGAAGTACCAGATCAAGTCTTCGAAAGGGTCTGCAGCTTCTCCTTGGTTTCTAACAGGGCGAGGCCGTGGAGGCTCAGCGGCGAAGTTGAAAGGACCTTTGCAAGCCTCGAAGCCTGCAGATGCATCCCCCTCATCGCGTCGGTCTTGACAGATGGGGCGGAAGCCGCAAGGTTTCTCCTGCGGGTTCTCACCCATGCTATTGCACTGTCTGACATCCTTCTTCATTATGCGTGACCGGAAGTCGAGTACATTGTCAGAGATGGATGAACCCATCTGCATTCCTCCTCCTGGTCTTCCATTGGGTGGGAAACCTCCCATGAATGATACACTGCCACACTCACTTTCGATTGCTGCTGACTCTTCTGCAGGCGCTGCAAGCGCACCTCCAAGCTCCCTGCCCAAGCCAGGTCCACCTGCACTGTGGCAAGGCCTCTCAATTCCAACAGGCATGGGTCTTCCAGGGTTTAATCGACTCAAACCAGCATCGATCGCGCAATGCGTTCCACTGTTGGCACTTCCCATGGGCTCGACGTCGACAATACTGCTCGCACCGTGCGACATCCCCCCTTCCCCATACAGTCCAGCAAAAAGGTCATGCAAGTGATCAGCTGTTGCCTTAAGGCGATTAGTGGCAGCTACTCCACCGTCTTGTGGGAGGTTCAGATTACAAGCCTGCATTGGAATTGGATGTCCAATAACCGGTGCCTGGAACCCCATGTTCAATTTGCTGGAGGCAATAAATCCTCCAGCTGGGTGGGGATGATGGCCTTGCATGTGCAGATCTAAACCCCCCTCCATGTTAGGTTGGGGAAGAAGACCCTTGTTTGGGGGGACATTGAGCTCATGCACTGCCGTGATACCAACGGGGTCGACACCAGGAACGCTAATGGGACTGACTTCGGAATGGGCTACGATTGACCCTGTTGTGAGAGATGCAGGCGTGGAAAGCGAACCTCCTGGCCGGTACGGGCAGTTGACCTGGTGCAGATTTCTCAACTCGCGCGATGTAAATCCTTTCCGCCACTCGTGGCGTGGGCATTGCTCGTACGAACACATGAACACGCGGTGCTCTAGAACTTCCCCGGAGGTACGCCTTTTCTTATACGTTCCGGAGGTCATAAGACTGTCCCCATCTGCAATCCTGACGATGTTATCCATGCCCTGTGCTTCCGCGGAGTCGGATGAGCTTCGGCTGCACGTGCTGTGAGTGTTTCGGCTTAGTGGCGACTCGGCCATCGGATGCATCAACCCACTGAGAACTCCCACTTCCAAATTCACATTTGGCTTGTAGGCATCGCAATCCTCGTCGTCGAAGTCGTAGCTGTCCGAACTTCGATGACGCGCAAACTGTGCCAAAGCTGGCATGTTGCTGAGGTATTGTCCGTTGTAGGCACTTCCGGGAGCCCCCAGAGATGTGGAAACCAAGGCTGTCTTTGGTCTGCCGCACGGGACTGGTTTCGCAAGCTGACACATGCCACTGCTTCTTGCACCTTGAATCCCGCTGCCGTGTGCCATGCGAGCAAGAGCTTCCTCCTGATTGAGAACGCCGACCCATGTGGCGCTCTCTCGTGCCGTCATCTTGTCCTGCAGGCACTTGGACTGCCGTACAAGTTTGCGTATTTTTGAGATATTCGGGGACATGTGCTTGATGACAGCGGTAAGGACGCCAACCTTCCATGCCTTCTTAAGGTCATGGGGTTTTTTATAAGGAGGCGGCCCTTGCCCTCTCGGCAAGCCCAGCTGAGGCCACCAGTCTTCATCACCCGTAGGCCACCAAGGCGGCGGCGCACCCTTCTCAAGCGGGAACTGGCGTTGCTTTGGGTCACAATGCTGCATCAGGGCGGACAAGAGGGACCCGAGTGTTGTGTCCTGGAGATCTTGTAATGTGTGCGGTGTGGAGATGGAAGGATCAACTAACACTCTGCTTTGGCAGTGCTCTGCAGCATACTTCTGTGCCGCAAGCGGGCCGTTCCGATCAAAACGGACTCTGTCCTTCCACCATGCACGTAGATTATCAGAACTGCCTCCCACCGGCTTGCCCTTCTCTGGGATGATTCCATAGACAAACCCCTGGGCTTTGCACACCTCCATCATTTTCAGCATGTATTTGAGGATGCCATCGTGCGCACGCGACATCTTCTTCCTCCTCGCCTGCTCCTGAGACTGTTTCTGCTTGGGTCTGTCGGTCAGTTCTCTCGTTCTTTGAAGTTCCTTGATTCGCCGCAACTTCAGGCGATCCCGCCACATCCGCCTCTCCAGCTCATCGATATCAATGTCCTCATCGCTGATGTCTTCCTCGTGAAGTCCATCTGCATCCCCCATGATGTCTCCTATGTCCAGATGCCCGGCATATCTATCATCATCACCATGGTCAACCATTTCAGCAGAGCTGGTTATGACACGCAATCCCCGACGACTCGAAAAAAAACAGCAGCTGGCTTTGCCAAGCTCAGATCTGTGGGGGGGCGCTTATCCAAGACTCGGCATGAGGGATAGCGCTTTTGAGGATTTCCGTCGATACAAACCTTAGTCAATCAAGCGACATGCCTTCTACCATCTTCCGCTGTGCGAGAGGAGAAAAGCACAAATTGTTTGGCTGGGCGAGTTTGGCGACGAGTTGCTGCGGCTGGCCTCTTACAATGTCGGTCGCTTTATCCGGCGCAAAGCGCCAAGGCATACAACTCCAGTTCTCGAAAGTGAATGAGGGGACTTGCTCTGCCAAGCGAGCACGTGGTGGTTAGGGAAATGTGAATGCAGCTCTTTGCATTCCTTGCCGAGTGGGCCTGCAAAGCGAGTGGGCCTGCACAACAGCTTTTCCAGAAGACAGAGAGCAGTCATCACCGCCACCGTCAGGGAAAGCCAACCTCAGTACAGAGACAAAACATGTTTGTAGAGTACACATAGGGCCTCGCTCCACTACTTCCGACATGCACAAAAGACAAAAAAAAAACATGGCGGGCATCTTTCCATTTTCTACCGGAAGATTCATTCTCATTTCGCACATTTGGTGAGTAGTGCAGCGAGGCCCATACTCCCATGGTGGGAAATCCAATAAAGGTTTGATTGCACCTACGTGGTCGCTAACTGGTAGAGTACACACTCCACAGTCCACAGTGATTACCATCTGCCCCATCCTTCCCCCGAACAGTAGTAGTCACTATTGCTGTATCTAAACTGGACGTTGAGCCAAATACAGCTCCAACAACCCTATTCGGGGAAAGACGGTACACACACGTAACTGCTGATAAACAAATTCCAAGGGTTCAAACTTCAAACCATACTTCTGGTGTATCTTGTGTGCGACCAGACCCCGTGTGCGGTGCACAGCGGCGCAGCGCATGCCGCACACCCCCAAAAGTAGGGGTTGCCAAAAACAATTCAGATGGTCAAGGTGGGGTGGAACACCCTGGCCCTGCCCTCGAAAAAAACGAAGTATACAAGAAGAAAAAAAAATAGGGGCTGCACACGACAGCAGCCCCCCAAAACTGTGTGGGTGTTTGTGTTCTAAACCCCCGGGAATTCTCCCTTCATTCCACCCACAAATCATCATAAACCATCTCCACAGAACAAAAGAAAGTATAGGCAGGCAATGTTCCCACGTTTATGTGGTTATATATATTGTCACATAACTACGAACAAAAAGAGCGCACTTTGCGAAACAAACGGCAGAAACAAAACAAAAAAAACAAAAAACAAAAAAACAAGACAAACATGAAGGGAAACCATTCATTTTTCTCATTCTTCTTTTAACTCCCCCTTCACCGTGCCTCTCACGTACAAGGCTCGCCACGTTGATGAAGTTGAGCGTGAGCTGCCCCCATCCCCACTTGTACGCTGTGAGAAAGAGGCAGAGTGAAGGGGGAGGGGGAAAAGACAGGGAGGAGAGACGGGGAGCAGACAAACAAAGAACGATAAAGGGAAAGTAGGGGAAAGTACAGTGGAGGCTCAAGAATGAGTCTGTCCTTGACGACAGAGAGGACATACATTGTAAGGATGAGGTGGATGAACAGATGGAAGATCTAGATCAGCATTCTCAGTGCAACAATTGCCACGGCGGCTGGCATTGAGCATGCCCACCATACACCCCCGACAAATGGCATGTCGATTGCAGGCCGAAATGAAGGAAGAACGGTCACCACAAAAGACCATGCATTCAGTATAGCGCCCATTGCCGCAAAATGGACATATAGTGTCTGGATCCGGAGGGTGCCTGCAGTCAGGAACGGAGGGACAGTCCTGTGCACACATGGATGCAGAAACCATGCAATTGTAGTGATTGTGACAGAGACGATGGCGGCTACAACCGAGTGTAACAGTAGTTGTGGGCCTTGTGGCTGTGCAAAGGAGGAGGTCGCACAATGTTGGTACATTGTTTTGCTGCAGCATGGGGCCAGATGAATGATCGTCAACATAAAAGAGATTGCGGACGGTTTGTTGTGGCAAGAAAACAGCATCATTTTGTAAGAAATCAGTGACATCAGTCATGGCATGGACCATGGTGCCCTTGTCCCACAGCTCCCAGTGGTCAGAGGCATGTACAATGGCCATGTAATGGCCAGGCCCGTGCACAGTGCAGGCAGAGATGTGGGATGGAGGATTAAACCACTCACCTGCTCGAGCATTGCGTAGTTCAAGTTGACGGTCCCTCATTGCTACTTGTAGGACAGCAATGGTAAAGCCTCCTTCGCTGGTATAATTACAAACCTCTGGCTGTACTTGGGGAAGATCAGCATCAAGCTGAAGGGCGATTGCAAGGAAGTCTGATGGTGTATAAAACGGGCGGTGGAGAATGTGAAGACAGATATTAGTTGCCGTCAGACCACAGAGACTGGTGAGGTTCTCAGGCTGGTTTGTTGGATGCTGGCCAACAATTTGCAGATCACCCAGATGGTGTTGCAAGGCCACACTGTGTTGGGTTGTTTGCTGGCCAGTCATTTGCAGATCACCCATGTGGTCTGCGTGTGGCGGAGCACAAATTTGTGGTTCGCCTGAATGGTGCTGGCCAGCCATTTGCAGATCCCCCATGTGGTCTACGCTTCGTGGGGTCAACTGCAATCCGGTCAGATCATGTTCCAATCCCTCAACGTTTAGGGCTGCATCCTGAGTAGAAACTGTTCCTGGATTCCTAAGATAGCCTGGATATACAAAACGCGGAAACCGGCGTGCGGGGGTTTAGGGATCATAGACCCGAGACAAGAAACAAGGCCCCTGCAGACCAAGTGGATAATCAAGCTCCTGATGAGACCGGATACTTCTTGGAATAGTCTGGCCCTGGACAGCATTAGAGCGCTGGCCCCTATAGCTTCACCAGAAGATATAACAGGATTGTTTTGGGTAATTACCAAGGGGTGGAGTCCCAAGTCAGGGCGGAGAAGGTGCAGAGCAGGAGTTGGAACCAATGAAGCGACTCACCACAACCCTTATTGGGCAGCCTTGATCCAGCTTTGGAGGGACATGATGCCAACAAAAATCAGGCTGCCACAGTCTAAAGATGAGGTTTTACGACAACCACTATTCGGCAACCAATGGGTAAAAGATGACGGGGATAACCCAGTGCAACTGGACCACAGATGGCTATCTTGGGTGAAAAATGGGGTGTGGAAAATCAGTCACATCTGGAATGAAGACAGGAAAGAATGGATGACTGAGCACAAAGCTGAAGGGGTGCCACAAGCGAGGTACAAACCTTCAGTATATTATCAATCTGATTCCACAAGCCTGGAAAGATATCTTGAAAGAAGCGCTACCATGGAGGACGGGGGAATGGGGAGTTAAGGTACAGGAGTTAATACCATCACGAGCATTTCAGTTTTCCCACATGGTACCAGGGTCGAACAACACAGCCTCCTTCACCTCATTTCCGATCTCGGCATCCGGGCACGGGATGGTTTCTATTTTAAACAAAGATGTGGAATCGGTACTGCTGGACTTCTTCCTATTGAGGAAAGTGCGAGTAATAGGGTCGTGGCCTAAGATCATCTTCAGACCGGAAATAACAGTACGAAACTTAGAGTTTGACCCAGCAGAGTGGGCTTGGAAAGCAGACAAACAAAAGAATATTAAGGTCGAGACCCCTATTTATGCTTATACAGTCAGACTCGGGTACAAGCTCTTAGTCCAAACAAAGGATCCCGACCCTGTAATCAAGAACAGATGGCAAAAATTGTTAGGCCAGGAAGCGGAAAGTATCAAGCAGATCCCGTGGAGGAAATTTAAGGCAATTAGACCTGTCAAAACCAGGAGTCTTCAGTGGCTCATCACTTATGCCGCACTACCAGTGAAACAATGGCTTCATATACGACGTCAAAAGAATGACCCGGCTAGCTCCAATCTCTGCACAATTTGTACCGCTGGTGCACAAGAAGATTTAGTCCACCGCTTACTCTATTGTACCGAAGCGACTGAGTACTGGGCACGGGCCGCAGCCCTTTGGGACTCTCTTCCATACTCCCCTCCCCGATCACCCCGTCCAAATTCTTCTCTAGACTGACATCCCCGATCGACTTCAAAAGGCAGAAAAGCTCTGGCTCGGCATGATCAGAAAGGTGACGCTATGGATCATTTGGAAAAAAAGGTGCAGCCGAACAATCGAAGGACTGTCCAATCCAAGACAAAAAGTATGGGCGGAAATGAGACTTCTGATACCAGCAGAAGTGTTATGCAAGTGGCGAAGGTTAAGGCAATCACTCCCTGAAGACATGGAGCAGCAGGAAGGTATCAGGAAGGAATTATTAGGCAATGGCTGCTGAATGGCAAGGTGGCGGAGTTAAGACATGACCGAGTGCACTGGAAGGATTGGCACAACTCAGAAATAAGAAAGGGTTTCCAAAATGTGCAAGGGAATTCGGTTTAGAGAATTGATCCTGAGCAAGCATCACCAGGAAGTTTCCCAGGCTTGATAGGACGGAGCAACGGGAGATCATGCAAAGGAACACTCACTAGGAATAAAAGGGGCTAGCATGGAGTCAGGGCAAAAGTAAAGAGTGCTTCATGTCTGTTCAAGGTGAAAAGGGGGTCCAGCTTAGGTGGGTGTCGAAGAGTCTCTGGCTGAGGGCTTAGGGTTTAGGGTTTTAGAAACTGTATACAAATGGGAAGGTAAGGTGGAGCGAAGGGTTGTGGGTCTCATGGATAGGTTTGGTAATATGGGGTATAAGGACTAGCTGGGTCACGGGACGAGCTCTTTGTAGGTGATATAGATCTATCTGACAGACAGATCTGGCTATCGGATCTGAGAGGAAAGAGTGAGACACGGCAAGCTGACAGTCAATCCTCCAGCCAGATGGAGCAATCAATGCTGCTCAGGGGTCCTTCGGCCAGACGGAAGGAAGCGTGGGTGTGTAAAATATATTCTGACTTGCCCGTGGAATAGGAACCGGACTGATGCTCCCCAGAATGGAAAGGAGAAAGTACCATAAGGCCCTGTTTGAAAAAGGAAAAAAAAAAGAAACTGTCCCTGGAGTCGGGAGCGTACTCTGGGCGGGGACCACATCGTGTTGTACAGGTGAGTCCTGAATATCTAACGCCGCAGGGTATAAAACATGGTGCCGTGGCTGCCTGCAGGCAGCTGGACTGTCTGTTTTTTTTTAATTTATAAAGAAGGTGAAGGGCAAAAAGCAACATACCTAACACAGAAGGCACTCCACCAGCAAGAAACCACCGACCAGATCCACCAAAAGTCCAAAAGACTTGGAGAGCCCTCCGAGTCGGCCCACAAGCGCAACAGCACTGGCACTGCCATTACTCCCAAACGACCCACTCACGTCACCACCATCTCTATCACTCCATGGCTAGACATCCCCA